TCTATCTATCTATCTATCTATCTATCTATCTATCTATCTATCTATCTATCTATCTATCTATCTATCTATCTATCTATCTATCTATCTATCTATCTATCTATCTATCTATCTATCTATCTATCTAAACGATTTAAGTTGGACAGACGCTATTCTTATTCAAGTGGGTTTTTTATGTTTATGTCTTTGTTTACGATTTGTTTAGATTGTCAAAGTTAGCATTAATTTGTATGGCTTATGTCATCGACTTTTCTCTTACCACATACTTGGCACGGAATCGCTTAGGAGCGTTCCAGAAATTATTTTTGGATGTACTTGAAATATTTGAAGAACAATATGTATGTCATTATTGTATGTATGACGTTCATGCAACGATATTCAGGTTCTCTTTGATTATTTCTTTATCTCACGACTTACACTATTCTCTCTCCATATACCTCCATCTGTTGATCCCTCTATGTTTCTTTTATGTCTCAATCTCTTATTATTATTTTTTTAATTTCTTTCTCACACAATTTTTTCTTCATCGCACTATACATCGCTCTAAGGCAGCGGTTCTCAACCTGTGGGTCACGACCCCTTTGGGGGTCGCGGGACTCTTTTCCAGGGGTCGCCTAAGACCATCGGAAAACACATATCCTTACACCTATGACGTAGCAACGAAAATAATTGTGTGACTGGGGGTCGCCACGACACGAGAAACTGTGTTAAATTGTTATGGAACTAAAAAGGTTAAGAACCACTGCTCTAAGGATTATGTTAAAAGAGAGAGAGAGATGGTCCGAATAAATTGAAATATTGAGCTAATTATTTCAGTTTTAAGTTAAAAAAAATATTTGACAGAACTAAAATCGTTAAAATCAGTTTCACTTTGAAATAACAAGAGATTCAAAGAAATGTCTTCCCTTGTTTCATCAGCAGATTTGAAAGTAAATAAACTCAGAAATATTAAATCATTTATGCGTGAAATAAAGGGATATCTAACATGTATTCTTACATATTTAGAAATTCTTCACTTAGGAGGCTAAAATACAAACGTATTTTTTTGATTTTGAAAAGATTACATCTTTTTTATCATGTAGCAAAAAAAATTTATAATGCTACTAAGATTATTTTGATTCAATCCAAACAAACAAAGAAAAAAAACACAAAAAAACACCACTTAAAAAAGAATTTTTAATTGTAATTGCAGAATGTATACAGTGCACTCACAAATGATTGTTTCAATTGTCAACTAATAAGAATACTTTTCATGAGAAAATACGTCCATTCCAAAAAAATAAATAAATGATCTAGCTTAGATTGAAGGCCAAGGTCCCTGACTCGTAACAGGGTGTATTCTGATAAATTGTGGAGTTCCCTTGGACTGGTGTAGCTTGCTGATTAAGATTGGTTGACATCGACCCTCTGGAGGTACCCGGGACACATCACAATCATGTAAAAGATACTGCGTGTGAAGATAAAAGTCTACAACACGATATCTACGTTAAGAAGAGCACAGCTGTAAGGTTTCTACCCCATTGCAGTTCAAAATGACGCCAGAGACAAGTTGGGATCATAATTACTAGTTGCCATTAATGGATATGAGACATGTGTTGGTTGTAGCAGCCCATGTCGTTGATTCCATCACATAACCATTTGGGGACTGTTCCCAGGCAAGCGTTTCGTCCAAGATATTTGATGGATTCACGAAATAAAGATAATAATAATAATAAAGTTTATTTGAAAAACACGCTTCATCCCCAAAAGCTTGAAGCGCGGTAAAAAGTCAACCATATTAAAAAGAGAAATAAATTAAATCGAAAATTTACCCCATTTAAAAACAGACGCAACAAAATAAATCTACATACGAGCATAACAATTCAAAGTCTTTCATCCCGTTTCAACTATAAGCAACACAAGCCAATATAAATAAACTGGAAAAAGATTGTAGATAGCATCACCCCAGAAGGTGTTTGTGAAATAAATGTGTTTTTAAATCGGTTTTAAAGGACTTCAGTGTCTGGCTGTTTCTGAGAGCGACTGGAAGGGCGTTCCAAATTGTTGGGCTGGGAAATGCAAAAGTGCGCTTTCCGTAAGTCTCAAGGCGAACACACGGTATCGATATTTTGCCTTTGTCGGATGAGTGGGGCTGTCAAGTTGGTACATAAGGCGTCATGATTGCTTTGAGATAGGACGGCGCCAGGTCATGCAAGCAGCGGTAGCACAAAGTTGAAATTTTGTAATCTATGCGAGCGTGGTCCGGCAGCCAGTGCAGCTCCCTCAGAAGTGTTTTAGCATGGTCAAATTTGGGTTTGCGAAGAACAATGCGAGCCGAATTATTCCGTGCTCTTTGAATTTTATCCAGGAGCGTAGCTGGGAGACCCACCATGAGAGTACTTGTAGAAACCATGTTAGAGGACGTCTGTTGCCAACCAAGGATGGATGACGGTGTTTTGGGACGTACAATTATAACCATCTCAGTTCATAGAAAGTTTGAGTAGTACTGTGAGAGATGTTCCTTGGTTGATCTAGGCCCACTCGCTTCGTTAATCGAGCGGACGGTGTGTGTGTCTGTCTTAGTGACGGATTTCCTCCAACGTGCCGCGTCGCGACCTGAATGAATTTCTGCGTTAGTCGAGTTGGGGAGAGGAAGAAGTATATTATAATAATAATAAAGTTCATTTCAAAAACACGCTTCATCCCCAAAGGCTCGAAGCGCGGTACAAAGTCAACAAAATACAAATCTATAATTTACAACATTTAAAACAAACGCAACACTACAAAAACTAATTACTAGCATACAATTGCAAAGTCTTTCTAGCCATTTCAACCCCAAGCAACACATCCATTATGCATTAACTGGAAAATAAGGTTGACAATCATTCCAGAAGATGTTTGCGAAATAGGTGTGTCTTTAAATTGGTTTTAAAGGACTCCAGTGTCTGGTTGTTTCTGAGATCGACTGGAAGGGCTTTCCAAATTTTTTGACCAGCAAATGCGAAAGTGCGCTTTCCGTAAGTCTCATGGCAAACACGTGGTGTCGAGAGTTTGCCACTATCGGATGAGCGGAGCTCTCTACTGGGTACATAAGGCGTAATGAGCTCTGGTGCCACGGTCTGTTGCCACGCTTAAGATATTATATTAAGTTTAGGTTAAAACAATACCAAAAATAACCTATATATTGTCACTTCAATCTTATAAAATATATCGCGAATCTGACCCTATATGCGAAGTGTTTAAGAATGCATTGTAATATCTGACAACCGCTTGCATGTTGTAAACAATTTTTGTGTAATGTTAAAATAAATTTGTATTAATCTTCTATAGATAAATTTATATGATTGTTAAATTGTAATTGAAAACATAAGAACGAGTATAAGGACAGTCAAGTTCTAATGAAATATACAAAATGAAAATAGAAACTACCTTTTGCATAAAAAAAAACATGACAAGGAATGAAGATAATAATCAAAAATTTATTTAATAAAAAAACAATGGGAAAGAGAGGCACAATTAAACAAAACCTGAAAAGAGTTTTCGCACAAAATTCCTTTATAAAATGTAGCATCGAGCAATGGGGAATGGAGCCTGAAAATTTGACAATACATGAAAACAGGACATTTATAACAGGACTTTATAAGTATCCCAAATAGTGCTTCTCCCCAACCCCAAGGCTCACAATTGATAACTTTTTTTCACTCCCCTTAATCATAATAATATTCTAATAACCCACCGCTTTTAAACTTCAGGTTTGTGTCACCAGCTATTTCAGAACAAGAAAAAACATATTACGCACTTACGATATTACGCACTGACGATATTACGCACTTACGATATTACGCACTTACGATATTACGCGCTTACGATATTACGCACTTACGATATTACGCACTTACGATATTACGCACTTACGATATTTAAAAACAAGGAATATCATTTAGTGCAGTTATCGGATCTTTTATTTCTCGACATCAATGTCATCTTATTTCCTTCCGGTTCCGCTAGAAGAATACGAACACTTGATTTGTTAGGAGTTGTGGACGTTGGTGGGGTTGAAGTTGGGACATAATATGTTGTGGCTGGCAAGGTCACCTTGAATGTGTCAATGTCCCAAGTTTCAGCTTAAATAGTGTGACCGGAAGGGCTTAAATTAGCCGTCAGAAAAGTTTTGCCAGCCAGCCACAAAGAAAAGCGAAGTTAATATAAAGCGTTTTAAAAATCGAGGTACAAACACCTACAATAAAACTGATGATAAAGAAAAAAAAGCGGAAGTTGAGTTCTTCATAGGGCATAACGAAATCAGGCAACGATATTCCGGTTGTGCAAAAATTATGTCTTTGGTTGATTACTTATAGAGTCAATATCATTTAGCATTTTTTTTTTTTTTTGCGTTTTGAATTCACTGTTTAAAAAAAGGAAAAAAAAATATGATTAAAATGTACAATTAAAATGTCATAGCGTCCCCTTCAAATCAATAGCATTACAATAGTATAAGCTAGAAAATTTCATAGTGGTCTCATTGTGTCTGCTATAATCACAGTCATGGGAAGCGAAACTTAAGAGCTAGAAATACTGCAAATGACAAGGACAAAGTCAAACATTTGAAAGAGGATCTAAATTACACTCAACATTTCATTTTGGTTTCTTAATAAAAAGATTTACTTGCATCAAGACAAAGAAGAAAAGAAAAACTAAAATGTTTATATATAAATATTTTCTAGGATAATACTTTTGATAAGCTTTAATCACTTCTAACAATGATAATAACAATAATAATAATAATAATAATAATAATAATAATACAATTATTGATTCATTAATAAGATCGCACTGTGCGGTATTTTATTTACGGTTTAAATGTATTCAATGGTAATTCTGATGTTTCCTTTTAGAATTTCCTTTTCATCATTGAAAGAATACGATCTAGACTTACAGTGCACTGTTGGCAGAGACGAAAAGAAATAATCAAAACAACTATAACATGCAAAGAAGTCATTTAGATGTATGGTCAAACTGCAAGAAATATGGATACAAAATGTCATCTTTATTACAAATAAAGTTCACACTTAAATAAATATTTAAAACTGAACATTAATCTACCTAATTATTAAAATTAACAAAAAATATATCGAGTTGCTCCTTTCAACAAAACAATTTTGGGCCGTTCCTTTGATTCTTTGGTAAAGAAAAACAAAAAAAAATATTTAAAGTGGGTAGTTTTGACTATGCAGGAGAAATAAACCCAGATGATTGGACCCTTCTACAAGTTCTATCTTAGCTTGACTTATTAGACGCACTTGAATGACATCTCCTTTCGTCAGGTGGAATACGCCACCTGAAAGGAGATTCAAACTAATTATACAGTGATCCAATAATTTATGATATAATTATACTCTGCAAAATATAATAAAAAAGAACCAAAAAAAAAAAAATTATACGAAGATATAAAATAAAATAAATTACAAAAAATCGCGTTGTCGGTAAATGATAAAAATACTTTTAAAAAAGGAAAAGAGTAGCATTTGTAGTCAAATAGTAATTGCTAAAAAGGCAGTTAAAAATATCTCATAATTTACCCATAGAGCTCAATTTCACTATGGAAGCGTTGTTTAGACGAAGAGTGTGTACAGAACTAAGAAGAACAACGCTGTACATTTGTTTTTCAGGTGGACATACCCGGTGAACGTAATGAAACAGAGTCTGTTGAAACAAATGGATATTTTTTTCAATCTTATGTTTCAAATTTAACATATTTATTGTAAAAAAAATCACCTAATAACACCGTGAGGTTTTTAAGAACCTTTTACTCTTACCCGTTGGACAATTCCAGGGTCACTCTTGACACCACCGACCTTGACATTTACACCAGAGTAAACATAATAAAAACCTATTTTAGAGGAGATCATAATTTTTTTTTTTAATGATTCTAATTTGCACAGACATGCTCTAGAATAAAACAATATTATGAAGAAATTGGTTATGACAACTAACTATATCACTGAATAATGAAAAAAATGTTTATCATAGTTCAAGCAACGAGTCTATCAAATGAGATAAAGATTTGCAAGAAAACTCTGTATTTTTCGGAGCCAATTTAATTATTTTTTTTAATCACTTATTTTGGTTTCAAAATCAGTTCAAATCATTAAGGATATTCGTGAAAAGACCACGACCAAGCCATGCTGTTCATTTTGTTGTTTTCATTATAATAAAGGTTATGGAACACATTTTTATTTACATAATTTTGACTTTGGGGGAGATTGGCTGCAGTCGAGTAAATATCTATTGATAACTAAACGTCTTGGTCAACTTTAAATCATTTTATCAAATGTGCATTTAACAAAAAAAAAACTAGCAAAATAAAAATAATTACTCAAATTACTTAATGTTTTAAAAAATTAGGTTAAAAAAAAGCTGTTCATTTTGTTGTTTTGCTTATAATAAAAGCTATCGAACACATTTTACTTCACAGAAATTTGACTTTGGGGGAGATGAGCTGCAGTCGAGTAAATATCTATTGATAACTAAACGTCTAGGTCAACTTTAAATCATTTTATCAAATGTGCATTAAAAAAAAAAGCTAGCGAAATAAAAATAATTATTCAAATTATTTAATCTTTAAAAAAAATTAGGTCAACAAAATAGAAAAATGCAAATAAACACATTGACTAACCACTGTACAGAATGTGTATTCCTTCTTGGGAAACCTCCACGCCACTGACATCGTCACTTAGGTACTGAAAACTCAAGACATTTATTGGCCCTGTACTGCCATCTGTAGATTTATAGCGTGCTTTACAACCTACAACCTACACCCTACAACCTAAAACCTACACCCCAAGATCTATTTATGCAACCACTTTCTACCAATCACATAATGATTATGACACCCCCATTAAGAACCTATCAACTAATTATACAAAATCCTTTTGCACTTTAAATCTTATTATAGCATCTCCTTATAAAACCTTCAATCTAATTATATCACCTCCTTCTACAACCTAAGATCTAATTGAACAAAACACATTCTTTAATCTACAATCTTCTTCTATATCTAATTTTACTTCTACAACCTACCATCTAATTAACCGTCTCGTTCTACAACCTACCATCTGATTATACCATAGCTTTCTACCTGTGATTTAATTTTACAATCTCCTTACTTAAATTTTAATTTTTACCAAGCAAACATTTTTTAATTTAAAAATAAATATTTTAAATGTCTTTGAAAATATTTATATTTATTTGATTTTACACTTGTTATCATTATTATTATCATTATTATTTTAAACAAATGCTATATTATTTTTTTAAAACTATTTTTAGAATTGACCTTCAGTCTCTGGATAAAATGTAGTTGAAGTCACTTTCAGTTTGACACGGGCATACGATGACGTAACACGGATTCCCTGTTTTGGATGGCCTTGATCTTGATAGTTTTAAGTAATTTAATGATTATTGTCATCATTACAATAATTAAGAAACCAAACAATTTTATATCCTTCTAACATTTTTTAATCTTCAAAGTGCTCAATGCCATTTTCAACAGGCAATTTTGTCAACTTGCGTTTAGTACGTAAACCAGAAACTAAAGACAGCGTACTGTTTAAAGATACGCAGCTACAAGAGTTGAAATATGTAATTTAAATATAATATTTTTTCGTTCAGATATAAAACATATGCATCGCTTACCTTCTTGAATCTCTAAGAACTGTAAAAGAAGAACATTGTTAAGAATTTAAATTACTTTTTGTAACATTGTATTTAGTTAATATTATTGATTACTAATATTTGAAATTTGCTATTTGTTTCAAATTTAAACTCAACATTATGTAAAGAAAGCTACTTCAATGGTTATATTGATAAGGGTATCATGTTGTGTATAAAATAAGACAGTTTTGTACTCCTATCAAGCAGTGAATACGTGTCACTAAGCAGACACGTGTAGGGATCTCACTAGGCAGTCACCTGTAGGTGTGTCACTAGGCAGTATCCTGTAGGTGTGTCACTAGGCAGTCACCTGTAGGTGTGTCACTAGGCAGTATCCTGTAGGTGTGTCACTAGGAAGTCACCTGTAGGTGTGTCACTAGGCAGTCACCTGTAGGTATGTCACTAGGCAGTCACCTGTAGGTGTGTCACTAGGCAGTCACCTGTAGGTGTGTCACTAAGCAGTCACCAGTAGGTGTGTCACTCAGCAGTCACTATAGGTGTGTCACTAGGCAGTCACCTGTAGGTGTGTCACTAAGCAGACACGTGTAGGTGAGTCACTCGGCAGTCACCTGTAGGCGTGTCAACAACTGGTGACCTGAATATGTGTCGTTAGGCCCTCACATTACCTGCTATATGTAATGAACTGTTCCTTTTTGTTTTTTTGTTTTTTTTTGTTTTTATGGCAAATTATTTAAATATTTCAAATTAAATAATCATTACCTTTACAATTAATGGGGTTATTTTCTGAAAGCTGTTCAAATTTCTCGATATCTGTTTGAAAGAGAAAAAAAGTCTCTTAAAACCATACAGCCGCGCATTGAATGCCCTAAACACAATGATCCACTTACATTATAAATATTTTTTTATAAAGCAGAAAGAACACGATTATTATCATCTATTTTAACTTTCATGATTTTATATTCATTATAAGAATATATAACTGTTGAAAAATTGTGTGTGATTAAAATTGTCTGCGATAAGGTTCGTGTGAGTCATTAAATCCTTTTTGATTAAGATTGTTTGTGATTAAAATTGTGTTTAAAAGCGTGAACTTGAAACATTGAAGTATACCTTTCCCTTGACGGCCTGGTCATGTTTATCAACAGCTGAAGAGATCACAATGACCAGGACAACGGTTATCAATGACGCCACTGAAATACTGCAATTATCAACAATGAAAAATGTTATGTCCTCTTTGAATTATTTCACAGAACGTTATCTAAATTTTAAGCAAATATTTGAAAAACTTTGCCAAGTAATAAATAATCCATTCGTATAGCCCCAGATTGTAAGGTTCACTGGACATCCATGGATTGATTTTTTTACCCTAAATTTGTCAAACATATATAATACAATAAATATACAGTGCAAATGCAGAGCATTTATTACATAATAATCTAAATATAAAGACATATACATGTGTATGTGTTTTGAGTGTGTGCGTGTGATCGATTACATAGACCGAGTGTGTCTCAATGTTTGTTTGTGTGTGGGAGAGTGTGTGTGTGGGCACAAAAAAACAATACAATTTTCAATAAAGAAAATCTAAAAACTTTAAATACTTACGTTCGAGTTGTCACGCCAAACACAATGCCGGAGGCCTCCGGGTCTGTGATTTACAGCACGACAAGAAGACATTCTGAAACAATGTCAATGATTTTAAATACTTTAAAAACGTGGCATCTGGCATGACATATTTATTTTACTTTTTAAAATATGTGTATTACTAGAAAAATTTAAATGTAATCAAACAAGTAAATATTATGTGAGTTGTATATTTTATTGTATCATAATGTATGCAATAGTATTTATTCGCCCTATGCTTGCATATGTTTTGCGTATTTTAATTTAAGCTAATATCAAAGAATTTGACAAGGGAACGTACCCCTTGTTACATTGTTTTCTGTCATGATTATGGGTCTTTTCAACAAATTAACCTGATGTAAGACTGAGAGGATAGCATGGGTAATGAGGGGTGATAATATATTTCTCGGAATCTATACAACATAAGATTTTACTTTATTTTATTTTGTTGTCCACTTGTTGTTTGTTATCTAAAGAAGGCTTCTTGCCGATGCCTCCGTCGTTTCGCTTTGTCTTTTTCAGGTTTTTTTCGTGTAAATTTCTTATTAAATTAAAAGGAAAAACTGGCAGTTACTTGAAACTCTACATGTGTTCGATATGTAGGTTTCATTTATCAGATAAATTATTAGCCCCTTTACATTTTTACTGCATAACAGATGTTCATTAATTTTTAATGTCGCTCTGTGTTTCTACTGCCTGTTATGGTATTTAAAATAGCTGGCACGTTTAAAGCACCACAGACGCAAAACATCAAGACTATTTGATTAAATTATTACTTTAGCTGTATCATTAAAAACCACCGACCGACCATGGATTTCTTTTTATGGTAATTTGTTTTCAAAATTTATTATATTTTGCTATAAGTATACACTTTTTAAAGTAATTTTAAAATTTAAAACAAACGCTTCTTTTAAATAATGATTGACATTACTTATTAATTAACTTATTACTCTGATGATAAACGAAATTAAAAACGTTCTACTTACATTTCAATTTATAGAAGTTATGAAATATGAAAATTTACAACGATTAAATCAAGCTTCTTCGCGGTCATAAAATCAAGTAAAGCTGGTTCTGGTAAAAGCTACACACCTGCGGTCCGTTGAGAAAGTAGGGCGTAGCATATTCCGGGAACAACATGCCAAACATCGGCACTAAAAATAGTTTTTCTGTAGCCAATAGAGCTTGAACAATTATATTTGTCGACAACACGCGACATAATGGCATTGGCTATCATTATTCAAAATATTTAATGCAAATGATTAAATGGGTCATTTTGGTGTATTACTTACACACAACTTTAAAAAAAAAAAAAATTTAATAAAAGTATTGATAAACGTTGACGGTCCCACAACTCAGGATACAATGGAATTTTCCCAGAAAGGTCTATCTAATAAAAAATTCCCCCAAAGAAGCCTTTTATATAGCTTTTATAAGCAACGAAAATTTTGCATGTGCACTTATTCACTAATCTAACATTTTCATCCAAATTAGGTACCTTGAAAGCAGGGTCGGATTTCCCTTAGGGCCTACCCAGGCCTAACCGTGGGCGCAGTAGTTAGAAATAATACAGAAGAAATAAAAACCAATGTTTATAAATTTTACAGGATTATTTTTTTTATAATACTCTATATTCTGCTGTAGTGGAGTAGATTTGAAATAGAAAAAAAATAATGTGGTGTAAAGATTATAAACAGTGTATTTAGTTATTATGTTTAAAAATAAACTGTTATATCTAAATTTGAATTTATAAATAATTGTTTTGAGGAGGGGGTTGCAGGCGTAGAAATATGTGAGCTGGCATAGGGCACATACATGAATATCCGCAAGTAATTAGTAAACTAAATCCAGTTATCAGCTATTTGAATTTTATCAATGTAAAAAATAAAATGGGCTATTAACTGTTTGGACTTTAACAAAAAGATTAAGATTTCATACAATTTAAATTAAAATGACCAAAGTCAGGAAGAGAATATCAAACTTAAAATCACACCATTCTAGTACTTAGGAAGCATGCACAAAAAATAAAAATAAAATAAAAAGAATGTTAGGGTCATTATTTAACATTTATGTAAAAAAAAAGGCAAATAGTTAAGACTATGGCGTTCAATACATAGGAAAGAGATATTCGTAACAAGAAATTTAAATGCTTAAAAATTAAGCAAATATAATATGATACACTTGTGCTTGTGTACAGGGACGACGGAGGCCAATAAAAAGATCTCCTGA